GGAGAGAGAGAGAGAGAGAGAGAGAGGTTGAAAGGGAGAGAGAGAGAGAGAGAGAGAGAGGTTGAAAGGGAGAGAGAGAGAGAGAGAGAGAGAGGTTGAAAGGAGAGAGAGAGAGAGAGAGAGAGGTTGAAAGGGAGAGAGAGAGAGAGAGAGAGGTTGAAAGGAGAGAGAGAGAGAGAGAGAGGTTGAAAGGAGAGAGAGAGAGAGAGAGGTTGAAAGGAGAGAGAGGAGAGAGAGAGAGAGAGGTTGAAAGGGAGAGAGAGGTTGAAAGGGAGAGAGAGAGAGAGAGAGGTTGAAAGGGAGAGAGAGAGAGAGAGAGGTTGAAAGGGAGAGAGAGAGAGAGAGAGGTTGAAAGGGAGAGAGAGAGAGAGAGAGGTTGAAAGGGAGAGAGAGAGAGAGAGAGGCTGAAAGGGAGAGAGAGAGAGAGAGAGGTTGAAAGGGAGAGAGAGAGAGAGAGAGGTTGAAAGGGAGAGAGAGAGAGGTTGAAAGGGAGAGAGAGAGAGGTTGAAAGGGAGAGAGAGAGAGGTTGAAAGGGAGAGAGAGAGAGGTTGAAAGGGAGAGAGAGAGAGGTTGAAAGGGAGAGAGAGAGAGGTTGAAAGGGAGAGAGAGACAGGTTGAAAGGAAGAGAGAGAGAGAGAGAGAGAGAGGTTGAAAGGAAGAGAGAGAGAGAGAGAGAGAGGTTGAAAGGAAGAGAGAGAGAGAGAGAGAGAGAGGTTGAAAGGAAGAGATTGAAAGGAAGAGAGAGAGAGAGAGAGGTTGAAAGGAAGAGAGAGAGAGAGAGAGAGAGGTTGAAAGGAAGAGAGAGAGAGAGAGAGAGAGTGAAAGGAAGAGAGAGAGAGAGAGGTTGAAAGGAAGAGAGAGAGAGAGAGAGAGAGAGAGAGAGAGGTTGAAAGGAAGAGAGAGAGAGAGAGAGAGGTTGAAAGGAAGAGAGAGAGAGAGAGAGAGGTTGAAAGGAAGAGAGAGAGAGAGAGAGAGAGAGAGGTTGAAAGGAAGAGAGAGAGAGGTTGAAAGAAGAGAGAGAGAGAGAGAGGAGGTTGAAAGGATGAGAGAGAGAGAGAGAGAAAGGTTGAAAGGAAGAGAGAGAGAGAGAGAGAGAGAGAGAGGTTGAAAGGAAGAGAGAGAGAGAGAGAGAGAGAGGTTGAAAGGAGAGAGAGAGAGAGAGAGAGGTTGAAAGGAAGAGAGAGAGAGAGAGAGAGGTTGAAAGGAGAGAGAGAGAGAGAGAGAGAGGTTGAAAGGAGAGAGAGAGAGAGAGGTTGAAAGGAGAGAGAGAGAGAGGTTGAAAGGGAGAGAGAGAGAGGTTGAAAGGAAGAGAGAGAGAGAGAGAGGTTGAAAGGGAGAGAGAGAGAGGTTGAAAGGGAGAGAGAGAGAGGTTGAAAGGGAGAGAGAGAGACAGGTTGAAAGGAAGAGAGAGAGAGAGAGAGAGAGAGGTTGAAAGGAAGAGAGAGAGAGAGAGAGAGAGGTTGAAAGGAAGAGAGAGAGAGAGAGAGAGAGAGGTTGAAAGGAAGAGAGAGAGAGAGAGAGAGAGAGAGGTTGAAAGGAAGAGAGAGAGACTGAAGGCGAGAGAAAGTAACCGCGGGATTGTAAAGTGAAATGAAGAGTGAAAGAGGAAGCCAAACAAGACACAACTATTCGCAGTGGCCATAAATATACCAAAGTTGTTCTTACTGATATCCTGCCAGGGTCTGTCGAAAGCCTTCTTCGCGATGGCAATATGACACAGACGTAACTATTGATTTACTCTAGGCCTATATTTTCAGCGGAAGATTGGGAGAAACCGAGAAAGCCTTCGTTAGTCATTTGGTATGTTGGTATCTATTCTTTTTTTGTTTTTTCTTGCTAGCTGGTTGAAGTTGCGTATATTTCATAGTATGTAAATGTAGGTTTGATCTGTCCCAGAAATTGGCCTGAATTCAGGGACTGCATTGCTTGTATTTAAAGAGTGATTAGTGTGTTTTTTCTTTCAATTCGTTTTTTTCTTTTTTTTTTCTTTTCTTTTTTCATTTTCGTTTTTGTTTTCTGTTTTTTTTTTCATTTTTGCTTTTCATTTGTTGGATCTCCTTTCATAAAAAAAAAAAAAAAAAAAAAAAAATCCTTTTATTTTCGTTCTTCCTTTCGTATATATTTTTTGTTTTCTTTTATTTTCATTTTTGTTTTTCCTCTTTCATTTGTTTTCATTTTTTCCTCCTTTGAATTATTCCCATTAACACTAAGAATCTCGAGCATTTCCTTTGTATTTGTTCTCCGTGATCAGGCCCAGCGGAGGCAGCGAAAACGACAGCGTGTTTCCGCGCACGCTCAACTTCGACAGCATTTCAGGATGCAATTCTAACAGGTTGGACTTAATCATTTTGACGACGTTAATTAGCTGTTGAAGGTTTAGATTTGAGATATATGATCCTAGAATTTTGATTAAAGTGTGTGTGTTGTATTACTTTGTAGACGTTATTTGGTTGTCGAAAGTTTGATTTGTATAATCGTTCCTGTATTTTAAATAAGGTGTGTGTGGTGTATATTTGCTATTTCATCGTCTCCTTTTTTTCAGTTATCATTGTCAGTTTTATTTTCCCATCCTTTGTCTTGTTTATCATTTTATTGAGGTCCAGTAGCATTCCTTTGTTCAATTCAATCAACAGTTGTCTAAATCGGTTTCTTGTGGTGAAAGATCATAATGTAGACTATCCTGCATTTCCTCCTTAGAAGAGACAGAACTCTTAACCAATTCATTCTGACTTGCAAAGTAGCTGTTTTCTTTAGTACTGTTAGGCTGCTTACACACAAAGGTGGCACATTGCGTATGGCATACCATTTGAAAACGAAAATCCGGAAATATACGAAACCTTGTACACAGAAGTGGGGTAATATTTCGCATGTGACACGTGCGACCTGCATGCGACACCGAGATTTTTCTCGTCTGTTATTTTTCAATGTGCAATGTGCCACCTCGGACTATCAAATTTTAATGGAGCTTTTACATCCAAAGATATTATTAGCTAAGATGATATATGAAATGTTAAAATCAATTAGCAGAAGATAAACAAAAGGGATATTTGTGGATGTATGGCATACACAGAGTAGTTTTAAAGTGCCTTAACAGATTTCCGGCAAACAGTGAGTGAGGCTTGGGAGGAGAGGGTAATCTTGTGGGAGGAAACTATGCAGTGTGTGCCCGCTCCCGTGCACATCTATGCCTCTTCCAGACAATGAACCATTTAACGTAATATTTGTACAAACTTTGCAGAAATACAATTATTTCAATGCTTTATGTCGAATTTTGTATCAGAGTGATCTCATGTTCCAATTCATTTAAGACATATAATAGGAAAATGTAAACACACGTAGAGTTGCCACTTCTGCTGTTCAACGATAACGGGTATGCCAGGTATGAGTGCAGGCAACTGTACATCGAAGTGCAGAAGTTTCAGCTCAGGGGTCACCCCAAGCTTGCCCTCGTACACACTGGACAGAAAGTGAAATGGGTATTGGAGTAAGTCTGCCTCGCCTTCTGTTCCAAAGGCCCCCACCTTATTCCTCCAAGTGACAGTTAAATGAAGGTTACTTAGGACTTGGGGCAATATTAATCACCGTGCCATATGTCAGCTGCCACTTGCCTCTTGCGACGTGCTATTTTGCTGTGAAAGCGGTCTTAGAGGGCTTTGGTACTTCAATTTATGACTGTCCTAGATTTTTTTTTTAACTACTAGAGATCCTAACTATCGTTACTCTAATCATCCTATACCTCTTTGTGAAAGCTGCCAGTAATCCTGCATCAACGTTAGTGAACTATCCTGTACGCCCGCAGAACTGTGGATGTTTTCCTCTTCATCTTATGTGGGGTTCCCAGAACTATCCTGCACATCATCCTCAAACCTATCTTGTTTGCTCTCCTCAGACCAATCCCAAACCCATTTATTCTTCGCAACACCCACAATCCACACCGTTTTCCTCTTCCTTCAAACGTCTAATGCCTTTATGCTTTCACCTCCCATTCTCTTTCCTCAGAATTACGGTTTCTGATGACGACGACAGGTATCCTCCTGAGAACGGCAGCCATACCTCTTATTCTCCCCATGATCTAAAAGGTATGGTATTGTCTTTGTGAACTTGTATTTTTTTCTAAATAAACTACTACAACTACCACTATCTTCTATACAACTAATTTTGCAACATGTTTTATTCAGTTAGTGATATACAAAACCCAAAATTCTGCCATTCCTCAAAATGTGCTTAGTCGACTTCTATTGCCGTTTGCTTCATCAAAATATGACTATGGCTATATTTTGCGACTTAATGATAACAAAGAATAAATAAATAAACACAAGACATTATAAGGTCAAAAGTGGTTGGTTATTAAAAAACACTTTCATGCATGCGTATATACATGTATGTGTTAACTTAGATACATATACATACAAGGTACATGAACGAATGTAGATACAGATATATAAAATATACGTCCATACTTGTATATACACAAATTCACCTCTATGTAGTGTCTACTTTAAAAAAAACTTTTCCCAGAACGGTCTCGATCCAAGCGGCCCTTAGCCCCTTGTTGCTTGACGGTCATGAGGGAGGGCAGCTATGGTCTCGTCCTCGTGGCTCTCGGCTTTATCGTCTTCTTCATCGCCGCCATCGTCATCTGTACGAGCGAGAGTAAGTCCTTTTGGAAAATCTTCAGTTAGATGGACGACGCGGCAGTGAATTTCTTTTTTGTTTTTGTTTTCGTCTCTCTCTCTCTCTGCTCCTTTTTTTCTTTTTCTCTCTTTCTCTCTCTCTCTCTCTCTCTCTCTCTCTCTCTCTCTCTCTCTCTCTCTCTCTCTCTCTCTCTCTCTCTCTTTCTCTCTCTCTCTCTCTCTCTCTCTCTCTCTCTCTCACTCTGTTTTTGTATATTTGTTGTTTGTTGGTTTTATTGTTTAAGATTTGCATTGTTTCAGTTTTTAAAGCTACTTCTGTTTATGCGTGAACTACTAAGATGTATAGTAATTTAATAAAGATAAAATATGACAGGTAGCTTCATTTTTACCCTTCAAACTGCTGATGTTGACACTGAAGTGAACTGAATGTTCGTATAGGTAATTTTAACTCATTAGTATTAAATTAAACTCTTCATTTCGTATAACCTCGTCTGAAGATTTTCACTTGACGATAAAATCCCTAAGCTCGTGAACGAATGTTAAGGTGAATTACTCGCTTTAAAACTGAAAGATTTATGAATTGATATATAACAAGGAAGGAAAAATATGAAAATGATGGGAGAAAATATCTTGATTTATTTTACTTTAGATTCTATTATTTATCTCTCCCTTTCTTCCTCGGATTTTCGCTGTCTTCTATCCTCTCTATTGTGTTTTAATATTTAGATTCCTTTCTCCTTTGCCCTGTCACGCTTCGGGACTCGTCCTCCTTCTGGATCTGGTTTACGGTATCCATTCCATCCACTACACTTCATTCTTTCCTCATATTTTTTCCAATCCTTGCCTTTTATCTTAGTATATTTCAATCCCCATCTTTTACCTTATTGTTTCTTCCAATCTCCACCTTTCCTCCTTTTTTTTCGTCCGTTTCTCGCCTTTTCTTGAATTTTGCCACCCACCTTTTTCCTTGTAGTTCCTACCAATCCTTGCCTTCTCTTTTGTAGTGGCTTCTATCTACTTCCTACTCTATTTCTCTGTGTGCCCCGTCCTCCTCCTCTGCCCTTCCGTGTGCCCCTTCCACCTCCTCTGCCCCTCCGTGTGCCCCTTCCACCTCCTCTGCCCCTCCGTGTGCCCCTTCCACCTCCTCTGCCCCTCCGTGTGCCCCTTCCACCTCCTCTGCCCCTCCGTGTGCCCCTTCCACCTCCTCTGCCCCTCCGTGTGCCCCTTCCACCTCCTCTGCCCCTCCGTGTGCCCCTTCCACCTCCTCTGCCCCTCCGTGTGCCCCTTCCACCTCCTCTGCCCCTCCGTGTGCCCCTTCCACCTCCTCTGCCCCTCCGTGTGCCTCTTCCACCTCCTCTGCCTCTTCCACCTTTGCATATCTATACCCCTTCCTCTTCTCTGTATCTCTGTGCCCCTTCCTCCTCTACACCACTTCCTCCTCTGCGCCACTTCCTCCTCTGCTTTTCCACGTGCCCCTTCCTCCTCCTCTGCATATCTGTGCCCCTTCCTCCCCTCTGCATATCTGTGCCCCTTCCTCCCCTCTGCATCTCTGTGCCCCTTCCTCCTCTGCGCCACTTCCTCCTCTGCCTTTCCGTGTGCCCCTTCCTCCTCCTCCTGCATATTTGTGTCCCTAGTTCCTCTGCCTAAAAGACGCCAAAGACAAAAGCACTGACGATGCCTAACCCCCTTGTCCTCAGCGCTGTCAATACCAACGACAGAAGAGCAGGTGTTGCAGGCAGCCGAGTTGTCATTGCTGCCAAATTTCCTTCAGCAGTCGGGTGAGTGTGTTTTCATATGGGTTTACTGCGATCTTTCTCCTTGGTTGCAGGTTGAGAAGGAGATTTTAGTAAGTAGATAGATGAAATATGCAATTGGAATTTAGCTTAACACTGACAGTTATAACAACAATCACCCATGTCTGATTCCAGGCGTGAACGTACCCCTGCCTCAGAATATCAATTTATCAGCGGAAATGCAAGGCAGTGATACCGATACAACAATAGCGCCACAGGCAAACGCCACTGCTGCACCACAGGTAAACACCACCGTCACGCCACAGGTAAATGCCACTGTCACGCCACAAGCAAATGTCACTATCACGTCACAGGCAAACGCCACTGTCACGCCACAAGCAAATGCCACTGTCACGCCACAAGCAAATGCCACTGTCACGCCACAAGCAAATGCCACTGTCACGCCACAAGCAAATGCCACTGTCACGCCACAGGCAAATGCCACTGTCACGCCACAAGCAAATGCCACTGTCACGCCACAAGCAAATACCACAGTCGCGCCGCAGACAAACGCCACTGTCACGCCACAGGCAAATGCCACTGTCACGCCACAGGCAAATGCCACTGTCACGCCACAGGCAAATGCCACTGTCACGCCACAGGCAAATGCCACTGTCACGCCACAGGCAAATGCCACTGTCACGCCACAGGCAAATGCCACTGTCACGCCACAGGCAAATGCCACTGTCACGCCACAAGCAAATGCCACTGTCACGCCACAAGCAAATGCCACTGTCACGCCACAAGCAAATGCCACTGTCACGCCACAAGCAAATGCCACTGTCACGCCTCAAGCAAATGCCACTGTCACGCCACAAGCAAATACCACAGTCGCGCCACAGGCAAACGCCACTGTCACACCACAAGCAAATGCCACTGTCACGCCACAGGCAAACACCACTGTCACGCCACAGGCAAATGCCACTGTCACGCCACAGGCAAATGCCACTGTCACGCCACAGGCAAATGCCACTGTCACGCCACAGGCAAATGCCACTGTCACGCCACAGGCAAATGCCACTGTCACGCCACAGGCAAATGCCACTGTCACGCCACAGGCAAACACCACTGTCACGCCACAGGCAAATGCCACTGTCACGCCGCAGGCGAACACCACTGTCACGCCGCAGGCGAACACCACTGTCACGCCGCAGGCAAACACCACTGTCACGCCACAGGCGAACACCACTGTCACGCCACAGGCAAACACCACTGTCACGCCACAGGCAAACACCACTGTCACGCCACAGGCAAACACCACTGTCACGCCACAGGCAAACACCACTGTCACGCCACAGGCAAACACCACTGTCACGCCACAAACAAGCACCACTGTCACGCCGCAGGCGAACACTACTGTCACGCCACAAACAAGCACCACTGTCACGCCACAGGCAAATGCCACTGTCACGCCGCAGGCGAACACCACTGTCACGCCGCAGGCGAACACCACTGTCACGCCGCAGGCGAACACCACTGTCACGCCGCAGGCAAACACCACTGTCACGCCACAGGCAAACACCACTGTCACGCCACAGGCAAACACCACTGTCACGCCACAGGCAAACACCACTGTCACGCCACAGGCAAACACCACTGTCACGCCACAGGCAAACACCACTGTCACGCCACAAACAAGCACCACTGTCACGCCGCAGGCGAACACTACTGTCACGCCACAAACAAGCACCACTGTCACGCCGCAGGCGAACACCACTGTCACGCCACAGGCAAACACCACTGTCACGCCACAGGCGAACACCACTGTCACACCACAGGCAAACACCACTGTCACGCCACAGGCGAACACCACTGTCACGCCGCAGGCGAACACCACTGTCACGCCGCAGGCGAACACCACTGTCACGCCGCAGGCGAACACCACTGTCACGCCGCAGGCGAACACCACTGTCACGCCGCAGGCGAACACCACTGTCACGCCGCAGGCGAACACCACTGTCACGCCGCAGGCGAACACCACTGTCACGCCGCAGGCGAACACCACTGTCACGCCGCAGGCGAACACCACTGTCACGCCACAGGCAAACACCACTGTCACGCCGCAGGCGAACACCACTGTCACGCCGCAGGCGAACACCACTGTCACGCCACAGGCAAACGCCACTGTCACGCCACAGGCAAACGCCACTGTCACGCCACAGGCAAATGCCACTGTCACGCCACAGGCAAATGCCACTGTCACGCCACAGGCAAATGCCACTGTCACGCCGCAGGCAACACCACTGTCACGCCGCAGGCAAACACCACTGTCACGCCGCAGGCAAACACCACTGTCACGCCGCAGGCAAACACCACTGTCACGCCGCAGGCAAACACCACTGTCACGCCGCAGGCAAACACCACTGTCACGCCGCAGGCAAACACCACTGTCACGCCGCAGGCGAACACCACTGTCACGCCGCAGGCGAACACCACTGTCACGCCGCAGGCGAACACCACTGTCACGCCGCAGGCGAACACCACTGTCACGCCGCAGGCGAACACCACTGTCACGCCGCAGGCGAACACCACTGTCACGCCGCAGGCGAACACCACTGTCACGCCGCAGGCGAACACCACTGTCACGCCGCAGGCGAACACCACTGTCACGCCGCAGGCGAACACCACTGTCACGCCGCAGGCGAACACCACTGTCACGCCGCAGGCGAACACCACTGTCACGCCGCAGGCGAACACCACTGTCACGCCGCAGGCGAACACCACTGTCACGCCGCAGGCGAACACCACTGTCACGCCGCAGGCGAAGCACCACTGTCACGCCGCAGGCGAGCACCACTGTCACGCCGCAGGCGAGCACCACTGTCACGCCGCAGGCGAGCACCACTGTCACGCCGCAGGCGAGCACCACTGTCACGCCGCAGGCGAGCACCACTGTCACGCCGCAGGCGAGCACCACTGTCACGCCGCAGGCGAGCACCACTGTCACGCCGCAGGCGAGCACCACTGTCACGCCGCAGGCGAGCACCACTGTCACGCCGCAGGCGAGCACCACTGTCACGCCGCAGGCGAGCACCACTGTCACGCCGCAGGCGAGCACCACTGTCACGCCGCAGGCGAGCACCACTGTCACGCCGCAGGCGAACACCACTGTCACGCCGCAGGCGAACACCACTGTCACGCCGCAGGCGAACACCACTGTCACGCCGCAGGCGAACACCACTGTCACGCCGCAGGCGAACACCACTGTCACGCCGCAGGCGAACACCACTGTCACGCCACAAACAAGCACCACTGTCACGCCGCAGGCGAGCACCACTGTCACGCCGCAGGCGAACACCACTGTCACGCCGCAGGCGAACACCACTGTCACGCCACAAACAAGCACCACTGTCACGCCGCAGGCGAGCACCACTGTCACGCCGCAGGCGAACACCACTGTCACGCCGCAGGCGAACACCACTGTCACGCCGCAGGCGAACACCACTGTCACGCCGCAGGCGAACACCACTGTCACGCCGCAGGCGAACACCACTGTCACGCCGCAGGCGAACACCACTGTCACGCCGCAGGCGAACACCACTGTCACGCCGCAGGCGAACACCACTGTCACGCCGCAGGCGAACACCACTGTCACGCCGCAGGCGAACACCACTGTCACGCCGCAGGCGAACACCACTGTCACGCCGCAGGCGAACACCACTGTCACGCCGCAGGCGAACACCACTGTCACGCCGCAGGCGAACACCACCACCACCACACAGGCCCCATCACCAACTAAGGTCACCGTTGCTGCGTTAGGTTCTTTGATGGACTTGATTTCGTCTTCGTCTTCGTCTTCGTCTTCGTCAGGGTCGTCTACGCCTTTCACACAGGGAGAAAGACCTAGTTATATTTTGGGCGGAGGCAACTGAAGGAAGGAGGAGATGGAGTGAGGGCGTGCGTCCAGTAAAAAAAAAATCATTCAGTGAAAAGGTAGATTATCGTCGACACTGGAGGTCGTTGAGATTTCTCTGTTGGAGATAGTCCGGGTTTCCACAGGCTTCAATTTCACTGTTACAGTGTTCAAAATATTGTAAAAATGATAACAATAACATTGCTCGAGATTCTGGACTAAAGTAAACAAAATATCAGGTGATTGATGTATATACCAATGTGAGGCAGTATTTTCTTTTTTTAATTTTCTCCCTGTATATTATCTAAAAGTGTAATTGGTATTTAAGTGTGTTTTGAGAATCGTTTTTATTCTTTTATAGGTTTAATTGTCCAATTTTAAGAAATATTTTACCGTGTTAAAAAAAAAAGGAAAGAAGAAAAAAACATTTTAGTTATGTAATGTATTTTTAAGTGCTAAATATTCCATGCTTTAATGGATATTGTTTAAAAAGTTTTTATATGTATTATTTTTTCTTAATATACTACAAATTTTACATGGTTTTTTTTCAACCACAAAATATTTTACTTCGATTACCTATAGCCTTCATTTCTAGTATCTTATGAAAGTAAAAAGTGTCGCTAATCTCACTCGCTATCTTCCCCGGCCCGGCTGTGACTCCACCCCCATTCCTATGAATCGTGCTTAAGTTTGCGAATCTAATTTTATTTTTGAATTATAGCTAATTATCACTCACTTTTACTGAGAATGTATTAGGAAATGGCAATAAATACAAGTTCTTAGTTTTCAATATCTACAAATTACAAGTGAAACGATGAAAAGCTATCGGAATCAGTTGAAAATGCGGGGCCCTCAGCGCCTCCCATCTTTTTCCTTCGTCTATTGACATCGGTTTCTATGCCACACTCCTTTAAATGTTTAGAAAATGTCACTTTTCATTAATTGACATTAAGTACGTTTACAAGGATGCATGAGTTCACATCATCTTCAGTTATGATATGAAAGCATTTTGATATTAAAGCTTATACTCTATAATGTTATTTATTTAAGTAGTATGGATTATATGTATATATATTTATGTATATATATGTATATATACATACATATATATGCACATTATATATATATACATATATATATATATATATATATATATATATATATATATATATATATATATATACACACATATATACACACACATATATACACATACACACACACACACACACACACACACACACACACACACACACACACACACACACACACACACACACACACACACACACACATATATATATTATATATATTATATATCAGTCACGCTCGCACGGCCCGGGCTACAGGTACTCTCTCTCCCCCAATCCACGGGTTAATTGGCTAAACCAGAGGTTATTCTAGCAGTAAGCCAGAGATCCTTTACGGAAGACTGCTTGTTTAGGATAACCCTTGCTGCAGGCATAGGGAGAGGCCGTAGTCGAGCCTTGTTCCTTGTACTTGTGCTCATGGTGTTTTACGGTGACGGACGGAGGATTCGAGGCACAACCAGTTGTAAGATAAGTTGTGTGTGCACCAGTAGTATATTCTGGCTTTGCTATATTTTCATCGTTTATGTATACATATCCAAGCTCTTTTATTAATTATTAGTTTTATGTGTTTGTTTGTTTCTCTTTGCAAAATGTTCTTTTTAGCGAGGAGTTGTGCCCAGGCTCCTTTTTGATTTTCCACACGGGGAGTGTTTAATTTCGCAGTACAGTTGACCCCGTTGTGTACATAACGTAACGTTAGAGAAACAAAAGGGTTCGATATATATATATGTACGCAAATTCCATGAACGATATTTATCCCAAACCCACCGTGCCTTCGGAGAGTGCTTACCGTTCGGCCCGCTCCGTTGGCATAACTCATTACATGTAAATTAACTAGTAAATAGTGTAAGTGTCAAAATCTGACACTATAATCTAGCCTTGCTGGTCACTACAGCGTGTTATTTTGGTATATATATTGAATAACCTGCTAATAACTTTAGATGTAGACGTGGCAGAATTTTTTCAATAGATGATATGTTTGAGCAGAAATCATAAACTAAAAACATAGTGGACATGGCATGTACGTAAATCATGCTAGTGCAGCACAAAGACTTAAGAGACACACAAACTTCAACAATATGAAAGCCAATTTGAGAAACCGAAACACGTAATTTCCTTTTTTCCTTCTTTTTTTTAAATTCCAAACTTCATAAAAAAATATGGAGTAGACACATTCAAGAAATATAACACTGATCACTTCCCTCAACATGTAAAGGAAGCTTTACATTTAATATCCAGAATTAACAAAATAAAAGTCAAAGAATATATGTATGGACCATACTGCCAGCCGGCCATAAGCCTAAACACAAGTTGTGACATTACACATTTGTGTTTTCGGTGTACTTCACATATGAATATTACTCTTTTACTGGTTCGTGCTACGCAGGTGCATTTCACAGTGGCGTTGGTAAGACCATGTTAACAGCTCTGAAATTTTAAATTGCTTCTTATATTGCTCAAAATGCATGTATTTCGATAGTGTAGTTAATGTATTGCTTTTGACATTATGATAATTAGAATTAAATATAACTATCGATGAAATTTGTTGAGGTTTTGAGTCACTAGCGATATTTTTCGATGAAACCAAGAATTATGTGTAATTATCATTAATCCGTGATACCTTTTTATCTAAAACACTTTCTTGGGAAATTAATAGTCAGTTGTTATTAATCTCATCAGTGCGATCTACTCCGAATAACAGGCATGGCCATCTACTGTAAAGGTAGCACAAAGGAGGCCTACTATTTAAAAGGGTCCAGGGGGCATGGCCTACTCTTGACTGGGTATTAAAATGTGTAAGAGCTCAGCTTAGGTTATATTAAGTTAGGCTTGATGAGCTTGAGGTGTATTAGCAGGAAAGTTAGGCTGAGTCAGTAGGTTCGGTTGGGTTGTGTTAGAATGCGTTGGTTAGATTAAGCTGGGTTTGAGTGGGTTGGAATAATAGGTTAGGATGGGTTTGAAAAGTTAATTAGGTTAGGTTGGACTGGATTAGCAGGTTGAGTTAGGATGGGTTTTGGATAGTGGGTTGGGTTGGATTGGAATAGTAGGTAAGGCTGGGTTGGGTTAGGGTAGATGAGAAAGTAGGATAGGCTGGCTTGACTTAGTAGAATAGGGTAAATTCGGTTGGAGCAGTAGGTTAAATTAAGTTAGGATAGATATAGTAGATGGAAAAGTAAGGTAGGGTGGGTCAGGTTTAGTATGCTCTGTTAGATTAAGGTAGATGGGAAAGTAGGTTAGATCGGGTTGGGTTAGCAGGATAAATTAAATTAAAATTGATTAGGTTAAGTTATTAAGGTGGGTTAGATTGGGTTGGATTAGTCTTACCAGGGATATATTAAGTTGGATTAGCACAGATTGGTCCCAGGTGGAGGGGGTGGGGGGTTAAAGTCCTTCCCTGGCTGAGTATTAAGAAAATTCTATAATATTGGTACCATTATCTTTTTTGTACTGATGTGCCCAAAGCGTTTCTAATATTAATTTCCTTCGAAAGTTAGTATTTTGGAAATTATCTTTTGCCTTTGTATATGGCAGTTTATCTAAAGAGAAAAGAAAAAAATATGTATGTATGCAAATATTCAGACTCAATTTTTACCTTCCCTTTGTTACTATCATCATTATCATTGTCATCATATTGTTATTAGTTGTAATGTAGTTTTGTTGTTTTAATATCAGTTATCATTATTATCATTTTCATCACCATCGTCATTACTATCATTATCAATATTATTATTATTACCATCATCATCATCAGTAACAACAGTACTGCTATGATACTTGTAGCAATAACACTTGCGAAAATGATAAAAAAACAAGCTGAAAAAATAAACAAATCTTACTCGACTACGGATTTCAGTGTAATTTTACGGCAGATCGATTCGGTTCCTGAGTTAACTTCTCCACAGGGTACAAGTAACAGGTGTTCACTTCACATGTTCATATATGGTGATTTTACGAGTGTTTTTTTTTTTTCCCAAAGTCACATCTGGAAATATTGTACCCCTACCCTTCTAGTTTGTCATGTTGAACAGATCGGACGTATGAAAGACAGTAACTTAGAGAGAGACAGAGACAGAGAAGGCCTAATTTCCGGTGAAGGTTTAATCGAAATAGATTAAATAAGTCTCCTCGTTGTAGAGCTATTCATACCTTCTTTACATTTGCCATTGGGTCACCGAAGTCAGCAACTATGCGGAAAGGCACTCGATTATGAAATTAATCAGGTCAGTCAGCCAGTCTCTTTTCTGTTATTACTACATTCTGCTTGCCGTACAGTTACCAAATGTTCTTTAGTTTCATAACTGTAGAAAGAAGGAAGAAACACGCACACACACACAGTATATGTGTTTAATATATATATATATATATATATATATATATATATATATATATATATATATATATATATACATATATTAGAGAGAGAGAGAGGGGAGGAGAGAGAGAATTTTGAATTCAATTTATGTAATTGAATAATTGATTAATCGGTGCTTATAGATAAGATTAAGGTAATTCTTGCTAACGGCTCTTGCTTGGATTCATGATTCATGATTCATGTCGTTAACATTGGGAATGAAGAGTAAAAATATTTTATGATAGCAACATGTGGCAAATTATGCAATAGGAAAAAA